AAAGAAATGAACAGCATCGCGAAAAACTGTTGTGAAAGCGCTGGTTTTCCTTGTGAGATAGAACCAAACGGCTTGTCATCAACCACCGCACAAAGACCGGATGGGATGACACTGACACCAGTAAGACAAGGAAAACCGATCGTTTGGGATGTAACCAGCTGGTGTACGGTTGCTGACTCTCATGTCACTGGAAGCTCCAAGAAATGTGGAAGCGTGGCGCAGCTGGCTGAAAATGCGAAGCGTGGGAAGTATTCGTTTTTGGGATACGGATACCACTTTTACCCTCTAGTAATGGAAACCCTTGGAGTTTTTGGTCCCGCTTTAAGTGAATTTTTACATTTTATGGGTCGTAAAATTCGGGATTTGACTGGAGAAGCACGTTCTTCTGCTTTTCTTAAGCAGCGATTCAGCCTTGCTGTTGTTAACGGAAATGCTACGGCTGTTTTGAGCACGTTACCTTTTAACCCGAGGGAGGACCGGGAATTTGGTTGTTTTTTATTGTTTAAATTCTAATGATTACGTAGGGTGTCAGCGCGTGCATTTTTTTGTTATTTGGGCGGCTATTGCCAATAAATCATCCTTTCAGTGTGGATCACTGCCCTGAATTGATCCAGAATCCCACATTTTATCGGCCACAGTTTTTCGGCAGCCATTCAATTTTGCTGTCATTTCTTTCGGCAGCAATTCACTTCGGCCAAAGCCAATTCCCGGCGGAAATACCAACACTTTTAACCTGCACTGCGCAACATGCTAAGTTCTCGTAATGCTTACTCGAAATTTTGTTCTGTTTCATTTTGCCCTCGTACGCACAATTTGGTTGAACTGTTTTTGAAGCGTAACAGTTGAGGATTTAGACGAATCATTGCTTCGTGTACCTCTCACACGTTGAAATAGAAATCGATGCTCTGGTACGACTCCACCTGTACGGCTTACCTACCGCATGATGCATAGATCTTCAGTCCAGTCTTGTCCGGCATTTCGGCGGTGATGCTGATATACAAACATACATGCTGCTATTTGCGTTCTTCAACTCCACCTTTCCACTACGCAGCTCCACTTCAGATAATTAGGCATCCAACCATAGGCCAAGTCGCGGACGATGCACATCCAAGACGCTTGAGCCACCTTGTTGAACGTACGGTCAGGAAATTGCTGCTGAATCTCGGCGAGTTGCTCCACTGGCTTGACAAATTTGAATACCAATTCATGATTCTCGCCGGTACTGCAGACTGGCACTATGTCATTTGAAGTCACTAACAAACAAGGATTTTACGGTGCGCAAACAGAAGAACTATGCATTCGCCGTGTTTCTGTCCGTGCTACAGATTTGACTGAAATTTCCACTGCTGTTTGAGTAAATTCAGTTACAAGTGTAACAACATAATTTCTTTTTAGTTATATATGTGTTTTGAGTTTTATTAAACTCTTCGATTTCACATTTGTTGCTTTGGTGTGTTTTGAATTTTAAAATGGCGCGCTGTTGCGCTTTTGAATGTAACAATAACAGCAACAAGAAGAACTGTAGTACCGCCGGACCACATTCGTCTCACCAGTTTCCAGAGAAAAACCCACTACGGGCACATTGGATACGAAAAATCAACAGAAAAAATTTAACACCAGGAAAACGGTCCGTTGTTTATTCGGACCATTCAGAAAGCACCTGCTACAAGGAACCTGGAAAAGTCGGGTGTCTGAAAGAAGGGAGTGTTCCAACCGTTCTTGGAGGTGCCGTAAAACGAAAAGTCAAAAGTAAGTTAATAAGTCAGCGTGCAACAACTTACTTAGATTATGAAAACTCCACTTGATTGTACCCGCAAATTAATTTGCAATTAACTGCAGGTTCTGGCTCCACGTCTGTGTCACCAGAGAAGAAACGAACATGGCCAGAAACTCCTGGCGATCCGCACAAGAGCTTCTCTTTATTTGAAATAGTATTGAAGTTACGAGTATTAAACGGAACATTTAAAGATTAAGCTTCTGTTGAATAGCTTAATGTTTTCAGAAAATGTCAGAACGAACGTAAACGAACTGGAAAACAAGGTTGCGGAATTAGAATTGCAGCTGGGTTTAGCGAGCGCACGGGCTCAAGAGCTGAAACCGAGGTTTAAATACGGGACGCCCGCATCATCGAACTGGAGGACCTTCTTCATAAGGAACATGAGGAACCGTTGATTAACACAAATTAACTCAAGAATTTAAGCGACCATTTATTTTGAAGATCTACCTGGGTTATCAGCCGCGAAATTTTTTTTAACGATTTGCCGGAAATTTTTCGCGGTGCGATATCTTCTGCCTGCTAAAAAGAATTGTAAAAAGGCGCTCTCCAACCAGAACGTCGGAAACTGTCAGTTGAAGACCAGTTTCTGTTGATTCTGTTCAAGCTGCAAAAAGACTTATCGTTGGAGTTTTTGGGAGTATTATTTAAAATTAACTGTTGCTCTGCGTCCATTTTGAAATGTGGATTTGTGCAATGGCTACGGTAATCAGACGAATCAACTTTTTTCCGTTTAGATAAATGGTTCTTGCAGACGCGCCGTCTGAATTTTGGGCCTCCAGATTTGCTGATGTATTGGTCCTGATTGACGGTTTTGAATTATTTAATGAGAAACCGAGTCATCCGGGCACCCACTCGTATGCAAACTCCAGCTACAATCACCATACGACCATGAAATATCTGATCGGTATCACCCCGTCAGACAGAGCAAGTTTCCTGTCGGAAGGTTTTATGGGCTCAAAATCCGAAGAAGCTATTCTATGTGACAGTCAGTTACCCGTTGATTACAGCCAATTCAACTATTCCATACATCTCCACAGACACTGCTGGATCACCTGCAATTGTCTTGTCATCTGAGACGAGCATCATTGTGGATGAAGACGCGGAGATGAGTACCACTAACATTTTGTACACCTGCCTTGGTGCGGTTGCGTGTGCCGGAACTTTTGTCGCTTGTGCCTGTTTCACTGTGAAAAAGTGTGCGAAGAAAAAGAACGGCACCGCTCTGGAGCGACTTAACGAACCCGATGATGCGTTGCAAATGCAAGTTCGCAAGGAAAACAGTTATGTATTGTAGATGTTTTAGGGGAGAAAAAAATTATGTACAGATTTTTACTTTTTATGAATGTCAACTGTTGACCAAATTATAGTCAGTATTCTGTTTTGTACGCTGCTAGCCATACGAAAATGTGATTTTTTGTTAGTTTTTATAGTTTTACTCTTCTTCGATCTTCTTTATTTCGAAAAAAGATGATTACGCTCTTCTCCAATTTTGTGATATGACATTAAAGATTAACTTCTCTGTGTTCTGTTTGTCGAGAAGGATTTTATTACCGGTCAGTGTGCTCGTAAAATACGAAATGTACGGCACTAAAATGGTGAATGTGTTTACACAGTAGCGTGTACATAGTGTTAACGTCTCCCTAATCCCTATCAAAAGTTTGTTTAAATAAGGTTTCTTACTTCCTCTCTACTCCCTGGATCCCGTTCATAAAGTGGTATTTATAATGGCACGTGTATCTGCTGCGGTACTGGTACATGCTGGTTTATGCTGGTTCACTGGTGGTTCAGTTAGTTTAGTTTGGTTAAAATGAGAGGGTGAGTTGGCCAGTGTTTGGATTGTTCAACGTCCCTCGGCGCTTCTGGGTGCAGTTCTGGCCACTGTCGGGTAATTGGTTAGACGGCAGCTTGTTTTCTACGTTTGGATTATTTGGTTTAAACCAAGTGAACCAGTCATAGCGTATTGTTTTAAACCCATTGAACCCTTAAGGTCCTAACTCAGGCATTCAATGCGATTGCCGTCTAATTGCGATGTGCATATCCCGTGCTGTAACTTGGTGGCTCGCAACAATGAGTGTCTCATTTCTCTACTACAGAGAAAGTAACTACGATGCTGTATCGTAACAAGACAAGACAAGACAATTTTATTCCCCCAGATTTCTTCTGGCAGGGGCACACCATGCGTTGTGCCGTATGCTCAAGCATAAACGATTATGTGATTTTGCAACACACACTGAAGATGTCAAGGAAATAATATTAAACATATCAAGTTAGAGATGCAAAAACTCTCATGTAAAATTAAACAAAAATGAATTTATGAATTTGACTGCATTTTAGTTAAACTGTGCACAATTTAAGGCTTTACGTATGCAACAGTACTAATTCGCCGCTAAATACTTTGCGGCTATCTATCAAAACCTGGTTTAAAAAATTTGCTTAAACAAAAGAACAATGTCTTCTCGTACTCCATCGGCGTCGCCTTTCTTCGTAGTAAAATCTGCGCTATTTCCACTAGTCCGCCGTCCTGTATTGAAAGGTCATGGGCAGCTAGCCGCTCCTGTAGGTTCTGTCTGTGTGGAAAATATGCAGGGCATTCATTCAGAGCATGATACTCGTCCTCCACAACCCCACAGAAGTTACATATCCGCTCCTCTCGGGGCAAAGCGTTCCATCTTCCTGTCTCCACAGCAAAGTAGTGGCCGGAAGTTAACATTTCATCCAATTTCCGCTTGTCATTGCAGGCATCGTTTTCAATAGGTGTACTTCTCCGCTTTCTGGTAGACACTGAAACAAAAAACGCAACCTGCAGCTCCAGGCAGCATTATCTTGTACCGACTTAAATAGATTCATCCGTAATGTTTTCTCGAGCCTCGACATTATGTCAACTGAACTCAGCTTTGTTAGCTGAATACGAATATCTTGGACGGTATTTGTCAAGTTAATTTCGATTTCTTCCGGTAATTGCCTTAGCGCGTTTTTTAGCCAACATCGCGTTGTCTTTTTGCCAACCAAAATGCTTTCCTCAAATGCTGCTCGAAGAAGAGTGCTAGAGTTTGCGTGACTGAGCTTTTCGACATGATACGCTTAAGAAAGGAGGCCCGGCTTTACTATTTTGCAGCTGGAGTATTGTCCTTACAATTAGGGTCTACTAGCGCGGCATTTCCGTTATGTGTATGGTCTATTGGCAACTAAACTTCGTCGCAAGGAAGGTTGGCATAATTACGTGTTCAAGCATGCAAAATTTATTAACCCGGTACGTCATAAAGCGTGGTTCGTTGCTAAACTAGAAGACGTCTAAATATGATTCCTGGTGATAAAACTGCAGGCAAACCGAAAAAAAGTTTTCCAAGAAATGAAAACGCACCCTTGTTTTCGTTATGTACTATGATCAGACGTTCGGAATGCTTCGTCTAGATGGCCGTTCGATCCCCAATGATTTTGATTGTTTTTATACCACTCGACTGTGTCGGCAAATCCTTTTTTGAATTCGATGCTTTGCTTCCATCCTAAGGCCTTTAGCTTCGAAAAATCCACGGAATAGCGACAGTCGTTGTATGGTCTATCAGGAACGTAATCAATCCAGTCTTGCAAAACGGTACTCTCTTTGAAAATTTCTTCAAGAAGTAATTCACAAATTTGCAAGATAGAAACTTCATCCAACGTCCCGATGTTGTAAATTTCTCCTATTTGCCCTTTTTCCATTATGATGTCCAGCGCCCGGCATTTATCAAGGACGTGTACAAATCGCCTTACAGCGTGACCCGACCCGTGGACGGGCATCCGACGCTTCTTCAGCAGGAGAAGGCAGAATTTTGGTATTGCTTGAGCTGGATATTGATAAGGACCGTATACATTGTTGCATCTAGTAATTATGTACGGAATGTTGTAAGATTTCCCGTAAGACATAACTAAACACTCCGCCGATGCTTTACTCGCAGCGTATGGATTGGTTGGGAGAAATGGAAAAGATTCTGAACTAGTACCATGTGCAATTTCGCCATATACCTCGTCCGTGGAGATGTAAACAAGCATCTGCAACTCCTGGGATTTCCGAACAACTTCCAGCAAGACATGAGTACCTAGAACGTTTGATGTGGTGCAGTCCATTGGATGGCTAAATGACTGGTCCACGTTGCTGGCTGCAGCAAAGTGAACCACATGAGTGAAAGCAAAATCTTGAAAAAGTTTCGTTATTAACGGAGCATCAAGTAAAGTGCCATGTATGAAATGATATTTATAGTGATTGGGATTTTCGATGTTTTGTGGATTAGCACTCAGTTGTAGTGAGTCAAGGTTGACGATCATGTCATTTGGATATTGCTTCGTCCAGTAATTGATGAAGTTAGAACCAATAAAGCCACAACCTCCCGTAACAAGGATAATTTTAGATTTTATCGCATTCACTGCTTTAGGTTCGCGTACCGCAAGAATATGACGAATTCTTTCCTTGGCACAAGGTAGTTTTTCTGGCACATTATACTTTGATCTGAGGTGCTTCGGCAGTTGAAAGAACCACTGATCAAGAAGCTTTGTGCACAGCAAGTTATTGGATCTGCGCGCTAGCAAAATGCTATCTTGCTCCGTAACCGTCATCAATGAGTACACATGTTGCCGGCCAGAAATTTGCTCATAAAGTTTTACAATTTCTTCATGCTCGATGACTCCCGGGTTCACGGCGTTGATTGTTCCTCGTTTCCCATTAACTAGACTGGCAATAAGAAATGGTAGAATGTCAGATAAAACGGAAACCGAATTTGGTACTGATATTATTTTGTTATAACCCAGGATTTTTGTTATAAAGTCTCGAGGCGAACTCTGCTCAGTTATAGGCATCCTTATCCTGGCACTGAGAACGTGGGAGAAGTTTTTCATTATTAGATCCGTTTGACCTTTTACAACGGAGTAAGCAGAGCCGAAAAAATTAGGCAGATCGTTTTCCGTAAAGCCAGGCCCATCGTTTTGTGGATGTTTTTCGTCATATTCAAAGATGCATCCTGATCCGATGTATAAAACCGGAACAGGGAACGGTGTATAGCATGATGCCGTAGCTTGCGCTATTAAAACTGGGGCCGTAAGATTAGAGAACACGTTATCGGTTAATTTCCCAGGTTGTTCAAGGTAATCGATAGAGTTGTTACCTTTCCCCCATGTTCGTCCTAAACTGCACACGACATAATGGGGTTCGGTTGATTTTAGATCTCTCCATACGTCCTCTATAGTTACTATCCGACTCCCTTTTAGTACTTCATCGCCAGCATTACCCAAAATTTCACAAATGAGGCTTCCGATCCATCCATCGGCACCATAAACAAGAAACTTCATTCTTACTGGGCTACTATCTTTAAGACTCAGTTCCTGTTTGTGATTTTAATGTAATATTAGACAGCCATTTCTCATCACGCTATAAATTGAAAGTAAGCTTGCTTAGAGGCGTAGCGCTTTAACTGCCGCAAGATATATCTTAGCTCGAGGGTCCTATTACACAAGGAGTTAGAAAGCCAAACAAAAAGTCACAAAATACTGACGATATACTGCAGCGTTCGTGAAGCTGGCCTCATTCCGGAAAAAATTGTTACTATAATCTTGTAAATATCTGCGAATCATTGGCGTACAATCACTTAAAACGTTTTATCGTCTCAATCGGGGAGCGAACAATCAGATCCAAATGTGCCACCGTTGTGCTGCCTAGCTCTGCAATCCGTGTTCGCCTTGATGGCCATTACAGAAAAAGAATTCCTTCAAGTTGTGCGTACTAACAAGCAGCGCAATGCATATGTACAGTAGTCCAAAGTAAATAAAAGTGGTGTGTGATCTTCGCTTGAATCACTCTGGAACGTATACGGGAATGCTTGAATAACAACATCTGTCCATTAATTTCTTGAGAAACTTGATATTTAGTCTACACCGCAATCTTTTTTTGAATTTAGGGAGCATTAGTTACCAAATTTAATTTCCAGAATCTTTTTTATCGTCAATTTTAACTTTGGTCCAAGAGGCCCTCCTAACCTGGTAGCCGACTTAGCCTTGTCCAACCAAACGATCAAGACGCGCTCCAGCCAATCCAGGGCCCGGTGATTCCGTTACCGGGTGGAAGACAGTAACAGGTAGCGTCTTTTAGATCCAGGATTCCACAGCTGTTTTCGTCACGCAGTCTTCAGAAGGCTGCGGGAACCATGCGGGAACCATAGACAGCACAGAGTACACCTATGCCAAGTAGGCACAATTCCGCACAAATAGCTAGTAGCCAATTTGCGATAAGCTGCCGGCCAGTGCTCATACTCTGGATGACTGGACTCTGGGACATTGTGGCATGCGCGTGTGAGCGATGTTTGCCTTTTCGCCTTGCGAAACGTTTATGCGTCTAACGATCGCACAACGGGGTAATACAGGGCAGACCCAAATTCTCCCTTGTCCTATGTCTCGTCCATTGTTTTCCTTTTCTTATGCGCATGACCACTACCAGACTCCTGATTGTCACTTTTGTGAGCCCGGCCCGTGCTTGTGTAAGCAGGTCATCTCATAGGGCGCAGCGTCGGGCATCGTAAACTACACCTTTCTCAATCTCTGGTGATCGAGACCCTGGAAGTATCTGATCCGGCTTTAAGGGAATTTTTACATTTATGAGTTATAAAATTGGGAATTTGGCTGGAGAAGCGCGTTTTACTGCTATTCTCATGCAGCGATTTAGCCTTGCTGTTGTTAGAGGAAATGCTATGGGTGTTTTGAGTACGTTACCTTTTAACTCGAGATGGGTCCGGAAATGTGGATTTTTTTAACGATCAAGTAGCGTGTCAACGTGTTTATTTTTGTTATTTGGAAGCCTATTGCCAATAAATCGAAGAAGTAACGTTATTGTTCGCAATACTCCCTATTGTTTAGTCCAAAATTAGAATACACAGTTAGAGCATCAAGCGCATCCGGTGCAATAAAACTTTCTTTTACTGTTAACTAACGCGAGGCTTTTACTTTGCGCGGCAAAGAAGCGTACATCTAGTTTCAAGTTTACAGGTTTCTTACAGTTTTCCATAGTAACTCAAGTTTTCCTAAAGCTTTTTGATTTCCTGAATGGTTTCAGTAATTTTGTTTTTTCCTAGCTTCCTTAGGTTTTTATCCATTCCTGGAATACGAAAACTCAGACGCCTCAACACTGCATCGAGCGAAAGCACCGCGGTCCTGTAGCTGCTAGATAAAATTGCACCACTTTTTGTTCCGGCCGCTGCCTTTCAGATCCGACACCTTCTTTGCGTTCGGTCAGAGGAGTGACAACATATATCTGGACAGTTTTACTTCTGTTTTTCAGATTGTGGATGTTGTCCGGCAGAAACGTAGACCATTCATCTACCAATCTACCGGACTTCGACAGGAAGCTGGATACGATTGCATTGAACAATCATCTTCCGCGATTTCCCCTTCCTGCCGGCAACACGCGACACAAACTCACTATCGGAAAAAATTATATAATTTGGATCCCTTCTGTCCGAGACTTTGGACGAACTTTACGATATCAAAGGAGAACCCTGGGTCTGGCTCGGGACTGGCGCCCCAGCCGTGTCCGTTTTGGTACACAGTGGTGGTAGTCGGATATTGACCCCATCCTGACGTTACCGACCACCAGGTTGTGGAAAAAGCATACATGCAGGTCGAAGCACAACCGTTCACTACATAGTCTGGGCAGTCGTTGAAGGCACGCTTCTTCCTACCAGCTGCCGGTGTTGTGGTTGTAGTCGTAGTGGTAATAGTATCAGTGGTAGTTGTAGACGTGGTCGTTGTTCCGGTTGCAGTGGTGTAAGTAGTGTAAGTTGTCGGGGTACTGGTGGTGGTTATACCGGTTGCCGTGGTGCCAGTACCTGTAGTGGTAGTTGTAGTAGGACTACCTGTTGTAGTTGTGCTAGAATAAGGAGAACAACCACTGCTGCTGTAAATGCAGTCTAGGAAGCAAGTGTAGTAGTTAGTCCCGTAGTACTGCCGACTTTCAGGCGGAACGTCTCGCTCATTTACTCGTGACGCCGCTGACTTAATACGCACATTCGGCACCGGGTCGGTGGTGTAGCCGTTAATGCAAGAAACAAAGAGAAACCATCGCCAGAACATCATTGCTTCGTGCCGGTAAAGTCCAATGGAGACAACGGTCTATAGTTACGAGGTAATATATTTGTTATTGATCCCTGTAAAATGTTGTATAATATCTGCGCAGCACCCGCGTTGCCCGAGAGAATTGGTTTTAACACACTAAATGGGATGAAATATGTTTTGCTTGTAATAAACCACAGAAAACCCTGCAGCATCTGACCATAGAGCAATAACCTACTGCAACAAAAGGTGATGGTTTCTACCAGCTTCCGGGGAATCCGCACAATTTTTCTTATTCCCTGCAGGCGCTAGGTCGTGGGATTCCGGTAACCCGGCGCCAGCGAACGTGCTCTGCCTAATTGATACGGTAAGTTAGTTCGTTAAAAAGTTGAAATTTATGTTCAAAATAAATATGCATTTTTTTTAACGGCGGAACCTGAAACCTAATGACAATATGAGGAAGGAAACCCGGAGAAGATCTAAAGGGTCCGCTTGTTGGAGACCAGCTTCTTCAGTATATCTTACTCGCCGAACAACAAGTTGCTGGGACTACGGTAGAAGTAAGAAAGAAAATTAAAATATTCCGTAATTTCAGGTGCTGCAACATTTTATCGCAATGAACTGTGGAAACCAAACCTTACTACTGCCTGAACGTCTTCTGAAAGGACCGTACAACTGCTTCACACCAGCCGTTTGTGCCGAAATCCATTTGTTTTGACCTTGGCCTTTCTCCCATTTGATCCAGAACAAGCTTGCCAACAAACTTAAACACAACGCGAAGTAACGCGCACCAGATGCAATGAGCTTTATGCCACCCACTTTTCTGTTAGATTTACACCGTAAAGTATCTGCATAATATCACGTGGAGTGCGGTCGGGTAACACTACGTCAGCTAGTGAGGTTAGCCGCTCACGAGGAAAGTAATAACTGTTATTCGTGGTATCCTTGATAATATCTTTAAAATGCCGATGTATTGAACTGTCCAGTTCACTAGCAGAATCGAGAAGATCCATTACCGCGTCGAAAACCTCTTTTTAGGTGACAAGACTAATTTGCTTACTCAGATCTTGTGACAGTGCTGGGTATTACGCATCGGCATCCAATTTAGCTCGAGAGTGCTTTTTATGCAGTTCTGTGAAAGCTGCAGTTGTTCGTGGAAACCTAGGCGACTTCGGAATAGTGATGTCAGTGCTAGTCTATATAAGCTCGAGTGATGTCTAATATCGAAACGGGTCAGGAATTAGTCTCTTGATTTCTGACATTCTTACTTTTCTGACTTCCATGTGTCGAGGATTACGATGTGCATTGGATTAAAGGGCAGTATTTTCTAAAGGTTACCTAGAAGTTCAGGATTCGAGTCTAATCTTAGCTTTGGGGAACCGCAGTATACTCGCGCCGCACAGGCCATCGCCTTTATCTGATCCACGTAAAACACCGAGACCGGGAGTAAGAAGTAAGACATTCGTTCGTGTTTCGCAGGGCTCCTGATAGGGATTCCTGGTTCCTGAGTTCGTACGCATACCTCCATCGACCCTCCAAGTTATTTCGCAGTACCAGTTTGAGATTTAAGAGTGCTCTACCGACTGAGATATAGGCTGGGAGGAGACCACAGCTAAATCCCGTGCGTCCGTGTTGATACGACATAACGCTACCGGATGGTTGTACAAGTCTTCCACCACGACATGGCGCCCACCAGTGGTTCGTAATTTTCCCGATGGTACAGCGAAAATTAAGGATGGATTTTTGATGGTGGTTTATGCGTGTTTATTGTGCAAAAGTGGTCCGTAGAAAGGCGTTGAACCGAAAGGTGCGCCGAAGGGGGCAGAGCTTCCTCGCCCAGGGTTATTATTTTTGATTGCGAGCTTCCTCGCTGTAAATTGGGTGAGCTTCCTCACCGGGCAGAGCTTCCTCCCCCATTTTTCATTAAATTTAATTTGCAAATTGAATCGGACCGTGTGCAGATTTACGAAACCTTAAAGGTCGTATAATTTTGCATTTCAGGCGCAAGAAGCGCAGTTTAAAATTCAGTGGTATCCGGTTGTCTGCATAAAGCAACGAACGCGGCGATTAAAAGCGATCTGCAGTGTCAGTTAGCCTGGCCGCAGATAGATTGTAAATCTTGATTGGGCGCAGTAGCCGAGCCATTGTCTGTGGCAAGGCTAGATAAAATCATCAGCAGCGAATACAAAGGCAGCCGTGAGTGGCAGCCGGTATTGGTAATCAGCAGTTAGTGATCGCTGGCTGAAGAAATCAAAACAAAGGCAGTCGATGACTGGCCTGGAATAAAT